AGGACATTCTTTTCTATCCCTACATACACACTCCCTGCCCCAGTATGATAAATTCAGGATATTTAACATTGATTTAATATTTATACATAGTTTATATTCAAAGTTCACTAATTGGCCTGATAATGTCCTATGTAGCAGTTTCCCTTCCAATATAGGGTCTGACCCAGTGCCTGATCCTTAATCATGCTTTGTATTTAACTGTCATGACTCTTTAGTTTCCTTTATTCTAGAACAGTCCCCTAGTCTTTCATTGTTATTTGTGATATTGACATTTTTGAAAAGTACAGGCCAATGTTTTGTAAAATTTCTCTCTATTTGGTTTTGTCTTGTGTTTTCTTATGATTAGACTGAGGGCGAGAAGGGGCAGGATACTATGGAATATTGTGACCTCAGTTCATCAGATGAGGAGAAACATGGTGTCACTTGATCCCATTATTGATGGTGTTCACCTTGATCAGCTGGTTAAGGTGGCATCTCCCAGGTCTCTTCACTATAAAGTTAGCATTTTTTTCCTGTGAAAATAATGAGTAATCTGTGGAGAGGTACTTTGAAACTATGTAAATATCCTGGTCCTCTTTAAAACTTTTGCCCAAAGCTTTCAATATTTGTTGATAATTAATTCTTGCCTGAATCAGTTACTATGACGGTTGCAAAATGGTGATCTTACAACTTTATTACTCCAACTACACTTTTTAGTTGGCATTCTACTGTAAGCAAGATCTTTCCCTTCTTTCTCATTTATTTTTATATTTATCATCATCAGAGTAGACTCATGAATTTTTATTTTATTTAATAGTTTATAATCCATTCCTGTCATGATTCATTTTAATGTGCAACTTGTCCCAGATTTGGCCAGTGAGAAAACTCTGTCAAGCTGGCTCTGGTAGCCTTTTGAACATGCCATTTTTTTCTTTGTTTGTTTTTAGCACTTTCTTGCTTTTTGGTATAATATGATGTTCCATGTTTGTCATTGTACTTTCCCTGCTTCCCTTGGAAATCATCCATCTCTCCAGAGAGCTTCCCTTTTAGTGGGGAATAGTAGTTAGAAACCAAGATCTGGGCACCAGATTGCTCATTGCTACTGGGGTGTAATTGCTTCTAGGCCCTTTAAGTAAACAGAGCCCAGGGCAGGAAATGGCAACTTTATCTAGTTCAGCTATTCTTAGTCATGAATTCATGACTGATTCCTCTAATTCCAGTTCAGCACCACAGGGCTCTTTCTTTCACTCCTTATTTTCATGTCCCTAGTCCCACATCGAGAACTGTGGCTCTGAGCAGCATCCAGGCCTTTTTTCATTTGCCCAGTGTCATGATGCACACAGGATAATTTCAGAATTGCTACATCCATTCCACTACCAAAAACAATGTACTCAATAGGGTGCAAGATTTGTTTGCAGTTTTGTTTTTAGACTAATGGTATATATTCAAAGGACTGTGTTCAAAAGTATTTTGGATTAGTTTTTTTCTTTTTTAACCTTCAGAGTGGTTATATTACTTATTTAAATTTAGTTAAGTTTATTTTTTTCTGGTTATATTTAGTTTTAGAATCCCTTTCATTCTTGTTGATTAAATTTTCTCTTTGAATATGTAAAAGCTAGCATTGCCTGAAAGTCAAATTCATATACAAAACATATGAAATGCTTCACAAATCTGTGTGTCATCTATGTGTAGGAGTAATGCCAAATTTATCTGTATTGTTCCAGTTTTAGTATATTTGCAGTCAAAGCAAGAACACCTCCAATTCATTCTTCAACCTATTTGATGCTTACTTAGTCCACCTATTTCACTCAAACTGCTCTTGTCAGTATCATCAGTGACCAATATTTTTCTCTCCTTATCTCATTTGACCTTTCTACACTCAGCCGACCTCTCCAATTTTCTTCAAACACTCTCCTCTTCAGGTTGCACTGCCTCTCTTCACAGGCCTGTCCTCATCTTCTCTGTCTATTCAACCGTCATAAAATACATCAGAACTCTTCTTGGCCCCTTTCACTGCTCTCTGCATAATCTCTTCCTAGATGATCTCAGCTATCTCTATGTCTCCAAATGCCGATTATGCCAGTAACTTCTAAATTCATATCTTCATCCCTGACCTCTCTTCTGGTCTCCAACCTAATAACCAACTGCCTAATTGACATCTACTTGGATATCTCACTGACATCTTAAGTTTAGCACATCTAAAATAGAAACAATTTCCCTGTCAAACCTGCTTCCCCCAGGCTCCTCCCTCTCAGGAAATGTCACCTCTATCCACCTGGCAACTCTAGCCAGAAACCTAGGAGTCATTCAGGATTCCTCTATTTTCCTCCACCACAGTGTTGAATCCATCTGCAAAATATGAAAAGTTTACTTCCAAAAATATGCCAAATTAGTCCATTTCTCTGTTTCCATAACCACTACCTCATGGATCATCTCTCATCCAGACTGTTCATCAACCTCATAACTAGCCTCCCTTTTATCCCACATACATTCATTCTCCATACTGTAGCTATAATGACCTTTAAAAAAACTAAGTAATAATGCAAACTTATATTTATTGGGTGTTTATTATGTGTCAGGAACTGCTATAAGCACTTCTTTTAAAAATATATATCTTTATTAATTTCAGAGAGAGGAAGGGAAAGAGAGAGATAGAAACATCAATGATGAAAGAGTCATTGATCGGCTGCCTTCTGCACACTCTCTACTGGGGATTGAGCCTGCAACCCCAGCACGTGCCCTGACCAGGAATCGAACCTCAATCTCCTGGATCATAGGTTCATGCTCAATTGCTGAGCCATGCCTGGCTGGGCTATAAGCACTTTATATATATTTAATCTTCAAAACTCCATGAGATAAAACCCAAGTTCACCTGAATTTTATAGAAAACAAAAACCAAAAACTTGGGGCACAGAGAGATTAAGTAATTTGCCCAAGGTCACACAGCTGGCAAATGGTAGAACTTAGGCTTGCACCCAGACTGACTCTTTACCTTCAAGTTTATCTACCACATTGTGCTGGATCATGTTACTACCTAGCCTCATATACTTTCGTGGCTTCTCATTACACTGAACTGAATTCCCAACTCCATACCAGAGTCTGCTGGGTCCTGTGACTGCCTCCTACGTACCCCTCCTTACTCATGTCCTGCTGCTTCCCTTTCCTCCAGCCACCTGGTTTGTTTGGCTTCATTTTCCAGATTCCTTTCCTGTCACCAGGCATTACACATCCTTTACCTTAAATACTCTTCTCCCTGGCTCCTCCTCATTCTTTATGTCTCACTTACTTATCTGTTCTGAGAGAACCTCCCTCACCACGCTATTTCTTACATAGCTCCTTTCTGGGTATGTTCTATCTCAGCCCCATATTTATTGTCTTTTTAGCCTTTAAAACAATTTGAATTTATGTATTTGTTTGTTTACCTATTTTGTCTCTTTTCCCCACTAAGATTAAGTGCTGTGAAGGCAGAGGCTGTCTCTTAATCACTTTTGTATATTCAGAGCCTAACACAGTGCCTAGTATATGGAAAGAAGTCTAGAAATGTTTGTTTTTTTACAGATTTTTTAAAAATATGTCTTTATTGATTTCAGAGAAAGGAAGGAAGACGGAGTGACAGAGAGAGAAACATCAATGATGAGAGAGTCATTGATCGGCTGACTCCTGCACATCCCTTGCTGGGGATCGAGCCTGCAACCCGGGCATGTGCCCTGACCGGGAATCGATCCTCAATCTCCTGGATCCTAGGTCAATGCTCAACCACTGAGCCACACCAGCCAGGCTAGTCATAGTTTTCATTGCTACTAATTGCCTCAATTACCTCATGTTTCCTAACTCGAATTCCTGAGAGAGACATACTAATTTGTCCAACTCGTTTCTTAGGAGCCAGGCCACATTTGTAGGTCATTGGCAAGTTCATGGGTTTCTTGCCTTGGGTCAGATTTCCAGTCCTGGTTCAAACAGCTGTGTGAGGCAGGGATGGTCTGTCTGCACAGTGCTGCCTTGCCACAGGGCTGAGGATTTAGCAGGCATGGTAATTGATATTTGAGTAAGAGTCGCAGCAGCAGCAGTAGCAGCAAATAATCAGGCCTCACTAAAGAGTGGGGTTCCCCAACAGTTGCTCTCTAGGAGGTAGGTCTCAGGTTATCTTGAGTACTGTTTACTTTCCGTCTGAGGAGAATCATAAACACAAATTGAATACTCTCATATTTACACAGCATTTCTAAAACTGTAAAAAGTGTTTGCATTCATCTGCATTTGTACCTCCAACAACCCTATGAGGTAAAGAATATTGTCTCCATCTTACTAATAAGGAAACCAAGGCCCAGGCAGGTAATGTGCATTGCCCAAGGCCTCAAGGACACTGAATCAGAACCAGCACTAAATCCCAGGTCTCCAGACTCCTATGCCTGGGCTCCTTTCACTGTATCTTACTGCCCATTTCCTTTCTAAGACTGTCATCTTGAATTATAGCCTAAGGGATTTATAAAACCATTTCAGTGTCCACTCAAATGTTTTAAAGGAGTTTGACAATGATCGAAGGTGGGCTATGGGCTCCCAATACATTTTAGCAAGTATCTAAGTCTTTATGGAGCACTTATCATGTGCCAGGCACTCTGCTTTACATACATTCTTTCATTTTTTTCTCTTTTTTATTATTTATTTTTAAATAGAACTTATTGGGGTGACAATGGTTAATAAAAGTATATAGGTTTTAAGTGTACAATTCTATAATACATCATCTATATATTGTATTGTGTGTTCACCACCCCAAGTCAAGTCTCCTTGTATCACCATTTATCCGCCCCTTTACCCTCTTTTACCTCCCCTGCTCTTTCACTCTGGTAATCACCATACTGTAGTCATGATTTTTAAGAAGTTTATTTGAAAATCTTTAGAGGTGTTTCAACACACTTGCTCCATCCCATAGAGCCAGAGCTTCTGCCCAGGTTGAGAGCATGGTTGCTGATGAAAGCAAGATCCTGCAGTCTTCGAGTTTCACCCTTGAGTTAGGAAAGCTTATGTCAGCTCAATAGGAGGCCAAATATGGTTGGTACCATTACCACTAGCCACACTGCAATCCCAGCTCCTCCAGAGGATTGGGTCAGTTTGCAGGCTGAAGTGAAGTGGACTGTGGCACTGTTGTTACTCACAGGATTGCTGACTTGGCACGTATAAAACTTGGAGTAGTTTTGTGGCTGAACAGTGATTTCAAGCACACCACTCTGGAGCTTTTTTGGAAAGGGTCCAGAGTCCCCATACCAGGTGTAGTTGACAGACTGATCCAGGATCACACATGACAGGATAGATAACAGCTGTTGTTCACTTCCTCTGTCTTCCCAATTTTTATGACAGGCTTAGGTACAGGATAAAACACTTTCAGTGGGATGTTCCATCTCTCTTCAATCCCAGCCTCTATCAACACCTTCAGGATGTAAGTCCTGCTGTCTTCTTTCTGGACATTATAGATGTAGAGCATACTGTCTTGATGATTAAGCGTGACCCTGTCCTTAAATTTAGTTATGAAGTAGGGAGGATTAAGCTTGTTGGACTCCCATTCTAAAATTTTCTGGTTGGTAGTGTAAAACCAGGTAAGATGGTGGTTATTAGGCAAATTGGAGATTCGAAGACTCACATTGCTGCCGGAGACTGCCAGATGTTCTGAATGACCTTGAATGCTGGTCTCCAAGAGGCAGTGAGGCAGGAGTAGAAGTTGTAGAGCTAGACACCACTTCAAGCTTTCAGCTGTGTGCAGTTTGGTGAGTCTACTAGCAAGTTACTCAGCCCTGCAACTTTCGGACTCTTTGGATGGAAACTGACTTCCAGGTCAAACATAATCCTGATATCATGTCCATTCATTATTCTCAGGGAAAAAAGGAAAATCAATTCTATGGGCATCAGCACAATTTAGGGAAAATGCTAGCTAGAATGGTACTTCTCTGTGCAGCAATACAGATAAATACCAACATCTAAACAAATGGTGTAATATCGTGAGGAATGCAAAAATGAGAATAATCATCTTTGTACGGCACTTTCTGATTCACAAGGGACATTAATATCTAATACCTAATTTGCTCTTCACATCACCCCTTTCTGTAGGTATTATCATTGCCATTTCACAGATGAAGACACTGAGACCCAAAGAAGTTAATTTAATATGAAGAAGTGGACATGTATTATTTCCCAGCCTCCATTCGCCCTTTTTACTGGTAAGGGTACCCTATGTTTCCTTTGGAGATCCAAAACCTCCCACCTCAGCAATAGTGATTGGATCAGCCTGAGCACATGACACATCAGATCTTTGAGCGTCAAGCTTAGAACTTTTGTTTGGACTTTTGTTCAAATTGTTGAGATGGAGGAACTCTCTTAAACTCTCTTAAACCCATGGGTAGGAATCTGAAGTTAATGGTTACCACCACAAGAAAAAAATATTGTGTATAAATCTTAAACTTGTAGAAGACAGTTCAGCTTAGCCAATGGAAAGCAGAAATGGAGGTTAAAAATAAAAAGAATGTCTAGTAGCCCTGGCTGGTTTGACTCTGTGGCTGGAGTGTCAGCCTGCAGACCAAAGGGTCTCGGGTTCAATTCCTGGTCAAGGGCATGCACCTGGGATGCAGGTTCCATCTCCCGCCCTGGTCTGGGGGCGAGCAGGAGGCAACCAATCGATG